GACAAGGCACCCTTGGAGGCTCGCCTCGCCTARTCGCCAAGCAATTTTGTATACTGTGTAATAAAATACTTTTATATTGTTATTGTTTTAGATTATAATTATAAAATAGACATTATTAAACAAAAATATTCATCTTTTGTGTTTATAAACTAATTTCTTTTTATTATTCTCTTATTTGTTAGGGTTTAATCAACACAAGCATTGCTAACTGCTGTATTGAACCCTCAAAGACTTCAGAATCTGAACCAAAAAGTAAGGGAAGAAGTGAAGAACTTAAAATTTTGTTTAATCAACACATTTCTTCTTCCACCTTTTCTTTTCTTCTTTTCCTATAACAAAAGTAGGGGTTCAGCCCCTATATTTTTTGAATTTTCTTTTCTTTTTCTTTTTCTTTCTCAAGAAGTTCATGATCCAAAATGCTTCCTCAACTCTGAATTTGAGATTAAAGATTTGGGAGAGTTGAGGTATTTCTTAGGCATTGAGGTTAGTAGATCTAAAGAGGGCCTTTCATCTCCCAGAGAAGGTATGTGTTGAATCTTCTCACTGAAACTAGGAAACTTAGTGCCAAGCCTACTTCCACTCCTATTGATGTAAATCATAAGCTCTCGATTGATGATGGAGAGCTCTTGACCTCTAGGGGTGTTTCAGAGATTGTTGGGGAAACTTCTATACTTGTGTATGACACAGCCACACATTTCCTATGTTGTGAGTGTGATTACCCATTTTATGCATGCTCCTAGAGACACATATGGCTACTGCAGAAAAGGGTATTGTATCATCTTAAGGGAACTCCCGAGAAGGGTATACTCTCTGCTAAGCATGGTCATATGAAGTTAGAGGCATATACTGATGCTGATTGTGTAGGTAGTATAGATGATATGCAATCCATATCTGGTTATAATGCCATGGTGGCTGGGAACATTGTCTCATTGAGGAGTAAGAAGTAGTCTGTTATTGCTCGATCTTCATTGAGGCAGAGTTGTTGTGGCTCAGATCTCTCCTAWAAGAGATGAGAATTGATCATGATAGGTTGTTGATAATGTATTGTGATAATCAGGCCGCCATCAGCATTGCCCATGACCCGGTTTAACATGACAGAATCAAACACAATAAGGTAGGCAGACATTTCATACGAGAGAGAGAGAGAGTGGTTTCATGGGAAGTATGTCTCCCTTCCAACTCCTTAGAGGAACAACTAGCAAATATTTTGACCAAGAGAGTAGAGTGCCTAAGCTTCAACACAATATAAGCAAGTTAAGCATGATTGACATCTATGCCCAGCTTGAAGGGGAGTGTAGAGAGATTGGGCTGAATGGGCCTTAGTTTGTTTAGTTATTTTCCTCTTTATTTCTAACGTAGTGGGCTGGTCTTATGGGCATTAAACCATTTTTATTTCTTATGTTCTTTGGGTCAGCTGCCTAACTAGGGGCACCCATTTAATTTCCCCTTTATTTTTGTTGATATTTTCGACAAATTGTGTAGTCTATAATGGTAGTTATTGATTATTTATTGTTTAGAAAGGAAGTGGGGACCACAGCACTCTTGTTGGGTCCTTTTTGAGCAGGTATTTTAATTCTTTTATGCTGTTTTATGTGTTAACCACCATGTAAGGGCATATAGATCTTTGTACTCTTGATTATGTTAGACTATAAAAATATTGAAGAGGGCGGCCAGCATTATTGCTCTCTTTTGTCTCTCAAATCTCTTCTCCTCCTTTTCTCCTTTCTTCTCTTCTTCTTCGAGAAATATTCTTTTCTTTTACAGATCTTTATTTCAGCACCTTTCTACTTGGTATCAGAGCTCGGCTAGGGTTTCTTGGAGTTTTTTCCATGCAGTCCTAGACTATAAAAAATATTGAAGAGGGCGGCCAGCATTATTGCTCTCTTTTCTCTCTCAAAACTCTTCTCTTCCTTTTCTCCTTTCTTCTCTTCTTCTTCAAGAAATATTCTTTTCTTTTACAGATCTTTATTTCAGCACCTTTCTACTTGGTATCAGAGCTCGACTAGGGTTTCACATGCAGTCCTAGATCAGCCAATTGCATGAGGAGATAAAGGGGTGATCGATCTACTTTAAATTGCCCAATTATTGCAATTTTTTGTGTGATCTAGTCATCAAGAGGGTGATCTATGATTTGGCATCAAAATCAGGAAGAAATAGAGTGCAAGGAAGAGTCCTAGTCAAGTTGGACACTTCAATTTTGATCTGATAATGGGCGCTCAGGTATTGTTGGACTTCTCTAGGTATTCTATAGAAGGCGGTTAGGTTTCTGGAATTTTCTAGGCCTTTTGGAGTGGCCAATTCACTTTTCTCTCCGATGAGAGATAGTGGGAGGAGAGAGATTTCTCTCCACATAGAGTTTTCTTCTTGCGAAAAGGTTTGTTTCTTTTGTGTATGAGATTGATTTGATCTTGGAGGCTCTCTACCTAATTATTTTCTGCTTTTGAACTGTTTGAAGTAAAATGGAGAGTTGGAGTACCGAGCAAAAGTCCACTGGTAACATGGGTCTGAGTATTGGAGGTAGTAGTGATATTTTTAGGTCTAGAATATTACTACAGTGAAGTTTGATGGTACAAATTATCTAGAATGGGCACAATCAGCCAAGATGGCCATTGGTGCTCGTGGGAAACTAGGGTACATCACTAGGGAGAAGAAGAAACCTGATACAAATCCCTTCCAGTGGGTACAGAAGAATTACATGGTGATGACTTGGCTATGTAACTCTATGTTACCTCATATTGGTAAAAATTTTTTGTGGGTTAATACTGCAAAGGAGAATTGGGATGGAGTGACTGAAACCTATTCTCAAAACAAAATGTAGCTAGATATTAGTTAAGGAATCAGGTGATTAGTACAAAACAAGGAGATAGACCTCTAGCCACTTATTTCTTCATGCTGAAAACTCTTTGGTAGGAGATCAACCACTTAGAAACTGTGGTTTGGGAGAGTATGAATGACGCAGTAACCTATCAGTTGGTTGGGCTAAACCCTAAATTCGACATTGCCAGGCAACATCTCCTTTCTAGAGAAAGTGTGACTCTTTCTCAAGCTTATGCATTTGTCTATAGCAAGAGTTTGAGATCAAGGATCTAGGTGAACTGAAATACTTTTTGGGAATTTTCATCTCTTGGAGGAAGTATGTGTTGGATTTACTACAGGAGACTAGGAAGCTAGGAAGTAAACCAGTTGATACTCCTATTGATCCAAATCATAGAATTAATGCTTTGGATGGTGAGTTAGTTAAGGATGTAGGAAGATATCAGAGAATGGTAGGCCAGCTACTATATTTATGTATGGCACATACAGACATCTCCTATGTTGTTAGTGTTGTGAGTCAGTATATGCATGTTCCTCGAGTTCAGCACTAGGAAGCTATTAAGAGGATAATTGCAAACCTAAAGAAGCATCCTAGCAGAGGGATTCTYTTCTCATACCAAGAAAGATTAATGCTGGAATCCTACATAGATGTAGATTGGGCAGGTTGCTTAGATGACAGGAGATCTACATCAGGGGTATGCACCTTTGTGGAAGGAAACTTGGTCTCATGGAAGAGTAAAAAACAGTCAGTTGTGGCTAGATCAAGTGCAGAGGCTGAATATAGATCTATGGCTCATGGTGTTTCAAAACTACTTTAGGTGAGATCTCTACTGAGTGAGATTGGAATAAAAGCTACTTAGATCCACTCAAGTCTGATAGCCAATTTCGGACCCTTTCCTCTTCTAGATCCTTCTCTTGTATTCTTGTGCTTCTTTCTTCAAGGCCCTAGCCTATCCTTTGCCTCCACTGCAGCTATTTCCAATGACAGAGTTTTGGGGGAGACCAATTCCTCCAAGAGTAGTTTTAATTGAGAACCATGAGAAAATTAGTACTTGTGACACGCTATAGAAAAGGAACCCCACTCCTATTTATCTCCTCATTGGTGTGTTCTCTGCAAAGCAAATAGTGAATCATGTTTTCACTTACCCATCTCCTTTCCATTTGACACTAGCAGTTGGGAATAATTCCTTGCTTTTGTTTGGTTGCAGGTGGTCTCTTCCATCCAACGTGGCAAGATTTTGTGCTCCCTCTTCATTTGTTTGGCCAAAGAAGAGAAATACAATCATGTGGAGAAGCCCAAGAGCTACAGTAATTGGGGCACTATAGGAGAACAAATGCAAGAACTTTTAGAGAGAGGACCAAAGAAACCTTGAGTGAATGTACAACTATCAAAGTAATTCACTAGCTAAAATCATTGGATTTATTCTTGAACTTCTCAATGGATGACCTCATGAGGAAGTAGTACAAAGTGGCCCTTACACCAACTTTGGAATCCAAGACTTGTAGCTTCTAGAACAACATGATGGRTACATTAAACTCAACTTTGATGGAAGAAGCAAAACAAACCCAAGCCCTTAAGGTGTAGGAGGTGTTTTCCAAAATGAGTTAGGCCATGTGTTGGCACCCTTCTCAGGTCTGATTGGCCCTAATGACTCATTGAGTGCTGAAGTTTTGGCAATTTTTTAAGGGGTAAATAGAACAAAGGAGCTGAATGTACACAAATTGATTATTGAAAGAGACTCACAGTTGTTGTAAGTGGCTACTATACAAGGGAAATGGTTTGTGGATATACAAAAATCAGTTCAAAAAGTTTAAATGGATAACCAGGGGAATGAATATTAAAACTGAATGAGTGCAAAGGACAATGAATAGCATGGCTGACACTATGGCAAAACAAGGGGTTGAGGAATCAAAAGTTTTGATCTCAGTTGTAAAGAACTTGGGTAGTGGAGATAAGCTGTTTTATCTACAACTGATTTCTATATACTTGTAATTCTCTTTTAAACTCTTAATGAAATTTTCAGTTATTGATCAAAAGAAATTACTAATACAGTGGTATAGATGATGTTTCCTTCAAAGCAATCAAGGACAGCAAAAACTAATGCATGACCTATAAAAAGAAAAAGACCAAGAAAATAATAATGCTGGTTTGATCAAGCAAATTTTCTATGGTGAAAAAGCATTACTGCATCCAAGTTTAGGAACGAGCTCATTGATTGGTGCAGCAGCTTGTTCATCAGGCCCAACATCTATACTTTCAGGCTTATTAGATGGATCAGAAATTGGCGTGACAAATCCMTGCTGACCAATGGCTTGGAAAGTATCGTAGAGACTATCCCATATTCCATTCTTAATAGATGCCACCTGCGATTAATAACAATGGGAACAAAATTACTATCACCCATGTGACCACTGACCAGTTAATGCTTTTTAACCATTAATGCACCAGTTGCTTCAATACAATGTATACCAAAAGCTCAAAAATGAAGAATGTGTAGAACTAATTTTACCAACCAAAATATGCAATAGTATTAATAACAAAGGACATACCTATTAAGGAGTGGACAGGAAGCCACTTATTAATGAAAACTGCAGAAAGAGTTACTATGAGGAATTAAAGGAGTGGAGAGGAAGTACCATCTAGAGAAATGGGATTGGATATGTAGGGACAAGGGGGGAAGTTTGGGAATTAGAAGAGTTAAGTTGTTTAACAAAGCATTACTAGGAAAGTGGTTATGGAGGTTTGAAAGGAAAGCCCTGTGGAGGAAAGTAGTGGCATGTAAATATGGGGTGATGGGGTTTGCGTGGGATACTAAGGAAGTGAAGTCTTCTTATGGAGTTTGTGTGTGGAAAGGAATAATGAGTTTTCAGTCAGCCTTTCTTGAATGTCTCCTTCAAGGTTGTGAATTGTTCAACAATTAAATTTTAGGATAATTATCAAAAAAGTAATAAAATTTTGGGAAGATGATTGGGCAGAGATTGGAAAATTCTGTGATTTTTGCTCGTTTGCCTACCATGAGAGTAAACATCAAGGTAAAGATAGCGTGGAGCTGCCTATTAGGAAGTGTGGAAAGAAAGAAATAGAAGAATAATTGAAGACAAGGTTTGAGAAAGGGATCAGATTGCTCTTTTATGTAGGAAAAGGATTATGGATTGGGTTCTTAATCTCCTGGTTTTTAAGGAGTACCAAAAGATATTGGTGCTATTTTTTCGTCTCTTCTTGAGTTGGATTCAAGCAGTAAGTCTTGTCTTTTCGTTTCTCTTTTTGACTATTTTGTAAGATGTTGGAGGTGATTCCTGGTCACCCTTGCTGATGTACTTTTCTTTTTATTAATAAAATTTTCTTTTTTTATTTACTTCCAAAAAAAGGAAAAATCAAACAGGAAAACACATAAAAAAACGGTCAATGAAAAGGAAAAAAATACAACATAAATTACAATGACAAAACCAAAATTAAAAACGCAAAGAACTAATCCATGACACAAGGGACCCAACCAACTTAAACCTACCACTCACTCCTGGACAAGCTATCAGCTAGAGTAAGCCATAATCATCTGAACAAGATGTCACTTAGGATAACAAAGATCTAGTTTCTATAATGTGACATCAAGATGCCATTGCCCATCTAAGTCATCAATCCACCACCCCAGGACCATTTGGAAATTTCCATATCCCTCCACTCCCTCRCTTCTAAAGAGGACAGCAGTCTAAGCTTGTAGAGGAGGGAAACGATCTTGGTATAAATGACATCACCATGCTCAACAGGACTTGCATAAACCAAAATAACTATTCTAGTCCTGATATCTAAATACCTCACCAACCACATAGRGAGCAATTTACAAGCAAGCAACCTTCAAAGTTGAGTTCCACAACTCCTTGGGGTAAGGAGAACAAAACAGAAATGACAGTCTGTCCATGAACTATGAAGAGCTGAGCTTGCTATAGACTGCCACCCATTAGCAATTAATTCAGTGTACAAGTAGAAACATACCTTGTCAAAATCTTATCATAGCTCTTCACATAGACTCTGGAATCATCTCTTGTCAAAACCCAACTATATTTCTCTACATAAATATTTCCTATCCTAGGTCAATGATAGAAGATTGTGAGAAAAGGCCAAAACCCCCACTAAGGACTCCAACAACCATAGAGAACCAAAGAGAAACACAAAGTGCTTCCAAATGTCTGGCACATAGGTACAAGAGATGAATGGTGTGTTGTGCTGTACTGCTGTAGAAGGTGGTCGGCCATCTAGAAGGTTACAAGACTGGTGAGAACTGTCAACCCACTGAAGTACTACAGTTTAGTGAAGATTACATCCTTTTTTCTGAAAGACAAGTAAAATAAAATTTATTGAAAGAAAAAAAAAAAGAAAATACAAGAAAGGTGACCAGAAGTCACCTAAGAGAATAAATAAATCCACCTAACACCCAACCACCATCCAACACCAAACCCTCTACATCACAACCAAAAGAAACACACCAAAAAGTGAAACTCTCCAATCCAAAAGACAGGCAAAAAAACATCTGAACAAACCCTAACACATTCCCATTCATATGAGCTTCAAAACTAGAATTCAACAGACGAACCTCCTAACCAACCTAAGAAAACATATACCAAACCCCCAGTAGATGACAGAACCCAAAAACATCTACATGCTGGGCTCCAGCTTATAATCATAATAAGCAAGACTCTACCTAATTACTCAGCTTCTCCAATGGCTTTGTTAAAATTCAGGTCTGCCTTAGAGTTCTGCCTGTCTGAGATCAATTATGTAGAAGAAGAAAGGTGAAAGAGAGAGAGAAAAAGAGAGAAGAGAGAATTCTGGTTCGAACTGAAAGAGTCAACATGACTTCTCCCAGTCGGCCAGGAAGTATTTATATTATTATTAAAACATAACTGAAAAGACCTATGTGCCCTTACTTAAGTTAAGAGCACTTGTTCCAACACACCATTACAGATCAGCAACATTAATCTAGGTATAAAGACAGAAATACCCCTACGCTAACAGGCTTGAACAGGAACTTCTTTACTTCTCTTGGAATCTTCCCTTTTTTTCATTCACCTTTTTGTTAGGCCCAACCCCAAATAAACCCGCTTTCATTCTGGAGAAACCTTTTGAAACTTGAATAGTGTGGTGGTTATTCTGGCTTCTAAAACAAGTCCATCCTTTTTTCGAGGATTAGACAACAAGACATGATCTTTTTTGAGATGCCTCCTCATTTGTTTTGAGACTGCCTCAGGCGTCAAAATTAACCTAAGAAAAAGTGAGTTAATTCCAATTGGTGAAGTGCAAAAACAAAGATGAGCTGGCTGCTACTCTGGGTTGTATAAGTGGTTCTCTACCATCTAAAGTTGTTGGTCTACCTTTAGGAGACAACTATGGATCCAAACAATTGTGAAGTATGATCTCCTACCCACGCTTCACTACATCTGTACATTGGGAACATCTCCCCATGAATGGTAACATGCAAATACGGGAGATGTTCTCAATGTACAGTTGTAGTGAAGCGTGGGTAGGTGTGGGTAGAAGATCCAAACTCAACAATTATGGGATCCGGTAATGGAAAGGATGAGGAAGTTGGTAGGGTGGAAAAGAGGGTACCTCTCAAAAGGTGGAAAAGAACCTTCATTCAAAGTGCCCTCTCAAACTAGGAAAATAACCTTTGGGAAGTGGGGAAGACCCAAATGAAGAAAAAGATTTCATTCAGTGGCCTGGCCCCAAAGGTCTTCCAAGAAAAAAAAAAGTAATCTCTATAAATCATGAATAAGGCCCTCCTTGGAAAATGGTTATGAAGATATGGGAAGAAAAAGAAAGTCTACGAGGGACTAGGAAAGTGTGGATCTTGACTAGGAAAAAATCCCAGGTTAGAAGTTCATATGGGTGGAACCAGCATATGCAAAGGCATCATGGAAGGCAGTGAAAAATTCTTTCAATTCATCCAATATAAACCAGGAGCTATATATATAAACACACTAGAAATATTTGTGTTGTGAATCAAGACCATTGTCTGACTCATACCCATCTTGTTTAACTTGGCATCAAACACAGATGCTACCATTAAGGAACATATGAAATCATAGGTGGGCAGATCAACCCAGGAAATCCTGCCAATAGACTGTGGACAGCAAGGTTTTAACAGAACAATGGGGGGGAAGGATCTATGGAAGTGAACCTAGGAAGCCTATGTCCCATCAAAAGTAACATTCTTTATTGGGCAGCTATCCAGGATAGAATCCTCAAAATTGACAAGCTGTTACAGGACAGGATGAATCTTGACAACTAATTACATATATTTGATTAAGTAATGTAGAAGAAATTGGGTAATAAAACCCAAAAAAACATTAGTATCTTCATAAAAATGTTCTAAATATTCTTTTATACAAATGCCAACATTCCATTCATCGTCAGTTATAATGGGATGCAACCTTCTAACATAGAATAGGTGGAATTTCACCTATGTTGAACATCTAACATAAATAATGTTCAAACCATCTTCACATCATTAATAAAGTTTTTTGTTACTGATCAAAACAAAAATGTTCAAACCATCTTGAATACATAAATTTAAAATATAACATGCACACCTAATACAAAACATTTTTCCTTCAAAAAAATAGGTTAATTGAGATTTTTAAAATATTTACAGCAACATTATTGCTAGCATTATCAAAGCTAATAGAAAAAAGATTTATTCTCAATACAATCAGTACATGTAGTATTTAAAATAGCATGTGGCAATTCAAGTCTTGTAAAACTTAAAATTCTTTTTTTGTAACTGCTATGAATCATAAATGAAATGACCAGTTACACAAATATAACTAATATTATATTTGAATGACCAAATTTCTGAAGTTAAACTTTAGAAGGGTTGAAAGTAGAAAATAAACATTTTTTACATGAAAGAAAAATTTTATATGCATCTGTTCTTGCAGTATATATAAGAACTTTTCTAAAACAGGAATTTACAAATAATTGTAAAAATATTTCAAATTTTGGATCTTCAGAAAATATAAATGGTTGTTCTGCATGTACAATATACCTAGCAAGTGCTTGTCTCATTTTTTCTTGTGAATATTGAAAAGTTGTTATAAAAACTAGATGTGTGTGCAATTTGTGTTTGTGATGAGTCATTTTGTTTTTCGTGTTTCTGGATGTCTTCTTAAATGTCCAGTACCACCACTAGATTGGCAAATAAAATCTTCTTCACGTTTTTGGCAATGGCTCTCATACCCTTTCCTGTAACTTCTTTCATTGTGAAGTCCAAACATCGACAGTTTTTCTTTTGGCTCCCGTTTCCCAAGTTTCACTGCCATCATATTGGGAATTTGGGACTGATAAAATGCTCCATCAAAGCCAATGC